TGGCTGGACACAAAAGCACAGAACCGAGCTGCAAAAGAGGATGTTCCCTTTTTAACATGAAGACTTAGGGGTCAGCTCAGGCTTGATCTTGCTGATTGCTGTGCTTCTAAAAGACTGCACTTGATGATTCAGAGGAATGATTTGGATTGCAGCCCAAATCTATGTGCTGTTTGATGAAGTAAGACTGATTTTGTGTTGCAGTTGTTGTTATCTCAAAGGTAATGTGGTTTCTTTCTGTTTCATAATCACACTATAGTATCTGCCCAAGCTTTCTCAAAAAATACTATCTTCATGTTGCTTGCATCATCACAAATCTTCATTGTTGGTTTCCACTCAAAAATGAGAAAAATATCAAACATACAAAGAAAAGAGAAAGGGAAGGGAGTCAGGGAAATTGTATTGGTACCTGTAAAACCTGAAAGATATACAAAGAAAACAGCAGAGATTTCAAAAATCTTGAGATCATAAAAATCTTTTTCTTTCCTGTCAGTTGTATCTGCACCCTAGAAGATTTTTTTTTTTGTCTAAGAGACAGGTGGTCTGCTTTAGCAGTCATCTGTGAGCAGTGGTCTGCTTCTTTCTCTGTCTCGACTGTGTACAACACATATTTTACCTTTTTTGTGGTTATCCCCAGAAGCAGTAGCTATTTTCAGGGAACACTCTTGTTCCCTGTAGGTGTACTACTGCCCTGGCTCACCCTAACTGTGCAGAAACACCAGTTTTCTGGGAAATCTCTAGCTGATGATTCATGTTCTCTTTAAACATTTTGTTATATCAGATCTGAAACATCAGGTTTATTTCTTTAGTTGCTTTTTGAAAAGATTTGTAGGTGCTGTTAATTCACACTTAATTTCTAGGAAGTTTAGATACCATCTAAAGGATTTGTCTTCTATATGACTCCCACATGTGCTTAGCAGATTAAGATCTAAGATGATCTCTAAGAAATGTTGAAAGAAATGTTTCAAAAAAAGGTAAAAAACTCCCCATTTTCTAGTTGGAACTAGTCTGTGAATGCTTCATGCCTACTAAAAAAGAAATCACCTGGCTTAGTTGTGTGTTCCAACTAGGCAGATGCACATACTGGCATAAATTTAGACCTTATAAGCCAATAGCAATTGCTCATAAAATGTGTCCTCCATGGCACCAACACAGCACAGTTAGAAAACTGAAGTTCTCTTTTAAATAGTGATCCTTGTGATTACATTTGTTGCAAAACCCTTAGATGCATTTGTTAAGCACAGTGTTACAGCAGCAGCATAGACTGTTAGGGGGGAAAATGGAGGAGGAGGGATTACAGGTACATAGGAGGTGTAATTCTTATAAAAGGCTAGGATGCAGTCATGGGCTGTGTAGGGAAGAGGGGAATTACCATGAGGGCACTAAGGTGGGAACTAACTGTATCTTCCAGTACCTAATGGAGAGTTACAGTGAAAAGAGAGCCAGGCTTTTCTCAGGGGGAAAATAGTAAAATAACAAGAACCAACACTCCTAGGTTAAAACGAGAAATTCCAGTTGAACTTAATGTTCAACTGGAATTTCTCTTGTTTTAACCTTTCAACTCTCCCTGTGAGATTATCACAACACTAGAACAGCTGTCCAGAGAGGCTGGGGGGAGTCTTTGTTCTTGGAAACCAAAAGATTTCTGAATGGTTAGTTTCGGAAAGGACCACTGGAGGTCATTTAGTCTAACCCCCTGCTCAAGCAGGGTCCCTTAGAATTCATTACTCAGGATTAGTTTCCAAGTGATTTTTAAATATTTCTAGGAAAGGAGATTCCAGAACCTCTCTGGTCAGTCTGTTCCAGTGCTTGATCACAGTGAAGTTCTTCCTCATGAGATCATAAAATATCCTGAAGTGGAAGGGAGACCCATAAGGATCACTGAGTCCAACTCTTGGCCCTGCACAGCACAGCCTCAAGAGTCATACCATTTGCCTGAGAGTATTGTCCAAAACACTTCTTGAACTCTGTCAGGCTTGGTGCTGTGATCACTTCCCTGGAGAGGCTGTTCCAGTGCTCAGCCGCCCTCTGAGTGAAAAACCTTTTCCTGATATCCAACCTAAACCTCCCTGACTTAACTTCATGCTGTTTCCTTGTGTCTTGCTGCTGGCTGCAAGGATGCAAAGGTCAGTACTTTCCCCTCTGCTTCTCCCTCTTAGGATGCTAAAGACCACAATGGGGTCTCCCTTCAATCTCCTCTAGGCTGAGCAAGGCAAGTGACAGGCTCATGTGGAACTTCTTGTGCATCAGTTTCTCTCCTTTGCCTCTTGTCCTATTGGTGGGCACCACTGAGAAGAGTCTGGACTCATTCTCTCAGCACTCTCCCTTAAGGTGCTTACAGACATCGAAAAGGTCCCCTCTCAGTCTTCTCTTCTTGAGGCTGAGCAGGCCCAGCTCCCTTAGCCTTTCCTCCTAAGAGAGATGCTCCTGTCCCCCAGTCATCCTCATTCCCCTCTGCTGCACCTGCTACAGGAGCTCCATGCCTCTCTTGGACTGTGAAGCCCAGAACTGGACTCCAGATTTGCCTCACCAGGGATCTTGCCCCTCCACTCAGGGGCAAGATCACCTCCTTCAACCTGCTGACAATGTTCTTCCTGAGGTACCCCAGATACTGCTGACCTTCTTGGCCTCAAGGACAATTTGTTGTCCACCAGCATCTCCAGGTCCTTCTCTGAAGAGCTGCTTTCCAGTAGGTCAGCCCTGTACTTTCTAATCTTCCTAAAGTAGGGACTTAATCTTCATTATATACATAGAATACCATGTATCCTTTATAAACTTACCTTCTAAGTGAATGAAGTTATCTATAATCAAATATATATGTGTTAAATTATTTCTGAATTAATATTAAATTTAAAACAAATCCTGTTAGTAGTGACCTCTGAGAAGATTCTTTAAATTAGCACTGTGGTAAAAACATGTCTTGGGTATTACTGGGTAAATATTACCGCCTTGGGTAATATTCTTGTTCCCATTTTCAACAGTTTCAACTCTTATTAGAAGTCTAAAACAGTATTAAAAGGCTGTAAACCCCTAATTCTGCACACAGAGAGGCCCCCGGAACAAGCCCTGCAAAACCTAAACCTGAAGCTATTGACATCTGGCAAGGGTTAATTTGTGCTGGGAATAAGTAGCTCTTATGAGAATAGAGCCATACCATGCTGTTCTTTAGAGAACCTTGGGAATACAGAGTGACCCCCCAACACTAGGGACTACTTCCTTAATCCTATCAAGCGTTGCAAGTGTGAATTGCCCACTGTGCCTTTTAGAGGCATACTCAGCATGGAACTTTTTTTGAATGCTTCTTTTTGTTTCAAGTGATGGAACAATCCCTGAGAAGTGCTTTAATACTTTCTCGTTAAGATCAGAGTCAAGGCAGAAGCGACCTGCTTTCTCTTTTCTCCAGCGCTGTGTTACTCATCAGGGACAGTCTTTTGTGTAAATACTGTATTTCTGTTTCTTTCTCATGCTCTGTCCTCAGCTCATGATCTTCTTTTCCTTTCTGTGGGAAGGAAATTAAATCTTTTAAACACGTGCTCTGTTTCAGCTTTCAGCCATCGTTTTGTCATTATATTTTAATGTAAAGCTTTGAAAAATCAGTGGCTTGGGTTCAGTCCTGGAGTCCACAAGAAGCCTTCTTATTAATGCCTTGAGAAAAAATGAAGCTCAGACTCTGTGGTAGTTACCCAGACTTGGATTGCTGAGGAAAACCTTGTAGCTGATTGCACCTGACCTGCAAGGTCTTTGCATACCTGTTTCATTAATGCTGACCTGACTGATGTTGTGTGTGCAGAACTCACCCGTGCTTTCAAAACCTTGTTGGTAGGTAACAGCTTTAATGGCCTTGCAAGGCTGCATTTGCTTTTTGATCACTGTGATTTTAAGGCACTCAGCACTCTGGTAGACACTCTCAGTTCTTTCTGTCATGGAGAAATTTTTTTTTTTTTTTTTTTTTTTTTTTTTTGTTTAATGTGAAGAAAAGCACAAGCTAATTTTCCAGGATGGAATGTGCCTGAGGTGTGGTGACCTCAGGACTGTGCCATTAACACTATCAGTCAGAACATAATCCTGCAACACAGAAGTGAAAGGACACTTCCAGTACTAAGGCAAGGTGGCCACTGTTGAAGAGAGACCAACACTTCACTGTCAGCAGTTGAAAGATGAGGCAGAAAGGGCAATTGATGTACAGCAGTTCTTAAGTACTTCTCAAATTGTTTAATGAGCTGTTCTGATCAAGTGGGGGTTTTTTTGCTGCTTGACCAGTGCTTTCCATCAGGCAAAAATTACACATTCTCAGTAAAAACCATTGGGAATCTTTTTTTTTTCCTCTCTTTCTCTTCTCTTTTTTTGTATTTATTTTAAATAAGGTATGAGAGTTCCCCCCCTTTCTTTGTTTTTTTTTAGTATTAAAGTTATTAAATATTTATGTTGTGGGTAGAGAAGTGGATGGTTTGAAATGCTTTCAAAGTATAACTTAGGCAAAAAAAGTAAGAGTCTTTCCTCTTTCAGTAATAGTTGTCTCAGTGATTAGTGGCAGAGAAGAAAAAGAAAATATTGTTTGAGTAGATTTTTATATAAATGGAGGGCCTGAGAAAAACTGTGGTAGATTTCCTTACCTTAAATTCCTAGAATCACAGAAGTGTTACTAGAAAGCAACTTGTAGATGGTTTTTTCCCAGTCCATTACTGAAAGAGTAGCTGAACTAATTCCTTGAAAATGACAGCAATATTTCACAGATAAATTGAATTTTGTAAGGTAAGTTGTTCATCTTCAATCCAAAAATATGAAAGAAGCTTTAAAAACAACAGTGATGAACCAAATTGCAAACAGTATCATTTACTGCTGAATTACAGTTTAATTTCACTCTACATAGATACCATTTGATAAAATCCCCAGATCATATTCTTTAAACCATAAGAAAATGGAGGCACTGTACAGTTTCTGTAGAGGGAAAATCAATAGAAATAGGTTTCTAAAAAGCGAGAAGTTGACAAATACTGGCAAAATACATCTTCAAGTATGCTTTATTTGCAGGTGATTAAAAATATTTTTAGGCAAAAAACTAGTCAATCTTATCCAGTACAAGATAGAACATGATTTAGTGCCTAATGCCAGACAGACTGGAAAATGTGTCAATAGGACTGGTGATGCGGTTGTTGATGAATTACATGTGGTTAAATGGCTCACATTCATATAGTAAAAAGACCTGATACATATATATGAGGAATTATAAGCACTTAATATTTTAACAATAAGCAGGAGATTTTGTACGAAAAACAAGGGACTCAAGGGGATGGGAAAGCTACAGACATCTTAGTAATATCAGAAGCCATCGACTTTTTTTTTTTTAAAGACATTGACTTGCTCCTGCAAATTACTGCACTCTTGAGAATAATATTTGCAATTTAAAACTTATCTAAAACATCACCAAAAGGTAACACTAGTTCCTATTTTTTTAAAAATTATTTTGTATTAATAATTTTGCAAAGAACTGAAATATGGCATGGCAAGAAGCATGAATTATCCACCATTTCAGAGACTTTGCATTCATCACATTTAAATACTAGGTGTCTGATTTGTGAAAGTCTCATGCAAAATCCAGCTATAAAAACTCACCACAGAATATTTTCAAGGATAAAAAGCTAATGTTTTTTAAAGCTCTGACAGACATCCAGTTGTAAAGGTGAATTTCAAAACTAATGGTCCACATTTTCAGAGGACATTCAAAAATATAGTTGTTGAACTTCCTGTAAATGCCCAGCTCTTATCTACACTTTGCATGGAATATTTACCAAAGCTATAACATTGGACAGTTAATGGAATATATCACTGCCTAGAGTAGCGCCAGCGGTAACATCATTATCTTTCCATAACTGCGTAATGATAATTAAATAATCACAAAACAAATTCCTATTATGAAGTGACTTTTTTTCCTCATGTACAATATATATATTCATTTATATTGAATATAAGTCCAGTAATACTATCACAGTAATGTGCTGTAGTAGTCTTTCATAGTGAGAAAACTGCCCTAATCATCTTTAACATGCAAAGCTTGGAAGAACCAGAAATTCACAGTAAGTAATACAATTTGTATAAGCATCTTCTGCCACCCTAAAGTTAACCAGAACACTCAAGACTGTTGCTTATTTTTTTTTCCTATGTTTAACAAAAGCTACAGTTCTGTATACTGTACATTCACAGTGGGATCCCAGCCCCCTGTACTATCTGCAAGAAAGATCAGGTTACCACCCTCCATCAGAGTAAACATTCTAGTATTTAATATAATAATCTTGTGAACAGTTGTTCCTAGCTTGAAGCTCAGCAGTTCAAGACTTGATAAAATTCTCCTTTTCATCTCTCTGAGAGGTTTCTTGCTAACGCATTTTGTAGTCATTAGATACTGACATTTCACATAGCTGTCCTTTAAAATCCAAGTCTACTGTGAAATCCAGGTCACGCTGTAAAAAGATTTAAATGCAACATGTAAGTAAGACCATAAGTTTAGTGTATTAATTCAGTTATCATTGCTTGAGTTGAAAAGACCAGCAGATCCAAGAGATTCCTGTGGTGGTTTCTAACTTCTGGTTTTAAATGGTGCTAACACTGAGAAAGCAGGCTGTAATATGTTTAATAGCATTCACCATACAATCTGTGCTTAGGTCATATTTCTATACTCTTCCAGAGGTGGATTTAATGTTCTAGTTATTCCCTGATTCAGAAAGCTTCTGAAATGCTGTTATCATATGTATCCTATGAAATCTTTTGTAGGGTATTCCCTATTGAGATGCTCTTAATTTAGGCTAAAGGGCTTTCCCACTAGGGGTTGTTCCAGAATAGATCTAGTAAACTTCCCATGATGACACATTTTTAGGGAAGAGGCACTACACAGCCCTACAGAAGGAAGCTGTGTCTATGCAAGCTTTAGAAAAACTTCATGCTTCAGAAGAACAAAGTGCTAGCAAATCCTTTTGAACCAAGGTGGTCTCTCTGTCTTACAACAACTGTCAAGAGCACATTTATTTTAGCACCCAAATCTGCATTCAGGTGCTTACTGCTGTGTGAACAAATTTGAGATATTTTATTCTTTTTTTTCCCCCTCAATGAAAATTGATACATTTAAATCAAAATAAAATATTCCAGTCCCCCTAGGACGACATAAGGGTGGGGAAACAGATTATTTTCCTCTTGCAGCAAGTAGCCTCAGGGGTGAATGTGTTTGTTTTAATGCCAAGTTTATTTTGTGTTTATTTCTCCCTCTGTATCAACACCACCATATCCTCTGTGTTTGGTATAAAAATGGAAAAGCAATGAAAAAAGGGAAGACAATGAAATGTTAAGATTTGTTGCAGTTAAAAAATGCAATTTTTCAACAATTACAACAACTGCATAGATGGATAACAGGTTATTTTAACTGCTGTTTACTGTAATAGAAAATGAAGAGATTCCGCTCAAGATGTTTGGCAGAAAATGGTCCAGTGTTTCTTCCAGAAGGTATAATTCTCATGTCTTGTTCTACCCAGCCATAGGTTATGTATCAGACCATGTCTCACAGTCTCCTTACCAGTTAAAAGAAACACTAGGGGGATTCATTCCATAGCAGAGAAACTGATAAGTTTTCAGCAGTCATGGTAGTATGATATCCCTCATGCTTTAGCTTTAGTCTTAAATAAAGCATCTGTATTTTCTATGGAAAGGCACAATTTTTAAACAACCCTTTCACTCAGTGAGTTCATACAAGCATTCCTCTGAAATGTGTTACTTAATTTCCTGTTGGACTGTTCTTGGGCACTGCATGGCAAATCACTCAGTGCCCATAGATGTGGAACTGAAGTACTTATTCTTGATCACCCTGTGTTGGCAGGAGGGATCTTTCCACTGATTTCAGTGACACTGTGAAAAACCCCTTGCCTGCTTGTGTCACAAAATGTGAGTATAGCTGATTGCAGAGGGCAGCTGACTGAGTGATGTATTTGAATCCTTTTTCTTTTCCCATGCTAGCCTGCTTGCAGGGTGACTTCTGTAATATTGGCACTGCTTTACCATTGCCTCATCAGCTTTGGTGAGGCTGTGACTAGAGCTCTTACTAATAAACATGAATGCCTTTAGTACGCTCATTGTTTTACTCCTGTGTATTTTCTTTATTGGTGATCATGGTTTGTGATCAGTAGAGATGGAATTAGCATCGGGGATGCTGACTTACCACATTTTTTGCATTTGGTTTCATGGATATAGTCCCATAGATTTCTTCTCCTCGTCTCACAGTTAAATAGTCCTCCAAGTAGAAGACAGTTTGCTTCCAGTGAGTATAAGGAGCATCAGGTGCTAAAAATGTATATATGGGTATCACTTATTGAAATTTCTCAAATGCATTGCAAATCAAATTATGACTTGGAAACAATTGGGAAAAATCCCTTCTTTTCATAGAATGCTTTATGTCCTATATTAGCAAACATACTTTACAACACAATTCTATTGCCTGTCTGTGAGTTGTCTTCTAATTCTTACTGGAATATGTCAGATATGAATCACACACAGCAAGAAAGATTCCACAAAAGGGCTTACAAGGCGAGATAGGCACATTTTTATGCTTTTCTTTCAACCCACACATGTTCAAATTGGGAAAACCTTTACCACTAAGTGCTTTGAATTTCAGAAATCTAAATTAGTTCAAAAAATAATGTTACAAAAGCATGAAGGAAAGGTACATCAAAAATTATTAATCGCAATGTTGCAGATGAAACATTTGACTAGTGATCCCAAACCAGCAAATTTTACAGTTTCCAGGATGATAGAATGGATTAAAGGGCACTAGCACCTTGATCTCTTTTGGGACTATTAAAAGGCATTTTGGGCAATTTGCCAGAGATGAAAACTGGTCTAAATTGATTTCTAGTCTTGCTTAGCAGAATCACTTTGATGACCCTTTGCTATTTCAGGCTTTTAATTTACTTACTTGGTTCTATTTCTGATATTAATTCCAATCTTTGAGCAGTGCCTAATGAACTTGTATTGGTCACTTGTTCCTACCATTCTTGCAGTCAAGAGCATCTAGGAACCTAAGAATAGCTGTAGGAGCTCAAAGACTTTCTAACCTGACAAAAAAAGCCTCTGATAAATTATTTTTTTCTTTTATTTGTATCCCCCAGTCACATGAGGTCACCGTATGGTATCATTATTAACACTTTAATAAAATAATTATTTTATTTCATTTCAACATCAATGTTTCAAAAAAATTATTTGGCTTTGAAAATTGTTTGTGACTGCGGAAATACTGATGCTTTTTTAAAAAAAATCTGGCAGGACAGGGATTTTTAACTCTTTTCTAAAAATTCTAGAATCAGATGACTGATATAAACCAACTTTTTTCAGGAACTGTGCTGGCAAATTGGTATCATCAAAAGGAAAAGGAGTTTACCAGATAATTTCTGTCTATGTGTCCAGACAGTTAACTGACTGTTAATCCCAATTGTTAAATGAGATAACTTCTTGTAGGAGTTCAGATCCAGACTGTTTACTATTTGGACATGGCTGCATAACATGTCTAACTGAAAACATGTTCGACGAAAATGAAATTGAATTTATATTCTTAATCAAAACTGCTGCCTTGTACACACCCATGCAGTTGTCCACATGACCTTGTGCAGGGATGGCCCTGCACATGGTTCCCTAGAAAAGCCTGGCATAACTGGAAACTTGTGCCCCAACAGCAGGGGTGTGTGTAATGCAGGCCCAGGTCTCCATGTCCACCCCAAATTACACACTTATTCATCATTTATAAAAATACAACTCAATGAAGCTGTGTTTTGACATGTCCTATAAATGGGTGTATTTTACTGAATTCAGTGCATCTTTGCCAACAGACACTAGGTGAGAATCTCTACCAGTCTTCTAGACAGTGGTGACCTTCAGCAGCAGATGGCCAGACAACCTTTTTATGGAGTAATTCTTCTGCACCTACCTTATCAGGATAAACTGAACAGAGGCAGAGAAACACTTCACCCTTCTGTCTACACAAAGGCTGTCCACAGGGTGAGGTTTTTGCATTTATTGCAAGACTCTCTGGTTTATTCAGTCTGGTAAACAACGCCTTAAGGGAATGGAGTTATTCCTTTAAATATCTGCTCAACAAGTCAAGTTAGAATTTCACATCTGGCTTGACAGAGACAACTCATATAATCACTATGTGTGTTTTTATAACTTGGGGAAAATGGTTGTTTTGTTCTAGACTCTGGGGCAAGCTTTGTTGGGTTTTGAATTTAGGGAAAACTAGAATGCAGAGCTGCTATTTCTTTCTGAGCTGATAATTCTCTGCCTAATCTGAGAAACTTAACACAGGATTTAGATATAACTGGTGAGGGACATAAATTCACAGGTTGTAATTCCTGCTGAGCTCTAAGATTGATAGCCATTATGAAATTCTGCCCCTGTTTCCAAAGAATTATAAGCAGTTGTCCTTTCCCCATCCTGCTCACCTCCCACAAAATGACAATAGTTTTTATCACTGTAATTCAAATGTAGTAGTACATTAAACCTTCTTGTAGCATCTAATCAGCAGCACTGATACACTTATAGCAACAGAAATGAAATGACAAGAAATACAGATTACCTGTAGAAAATCCCATCTTCTTGTGGCACTTTGTAAATTCAATATTAAAATAGGTGACCAAGGCATGAATATAATCATTGCGTTGAATTTGGAGGCAGAATGCAGAAGTAAATTCCAATTCTTCAGTCTTCACTGTATAAATATCTACTTCCTGTTTTGAGGAGAAAGAAATGACATTTACACGCAGAAATATTCTGTGACTGTCAGGTAAGTGTTAAATGAAGTACTTCATTATTTCATTTAATGATCAGACACAAAGATGACCAGCAGCTTTTTAACACTGTGAGAAATCAAAGGTATATTCTAATATATCAAATCATGAGGAAATTATGCAATTACCTGACTAAGCTGACAGAGAGAACACTCACTGAAGAGTGTGTGTGTTCTTGGGACTGGCAGGGAGGGGCTGTGGGAACTAGGGAAAATCAGGGTAAAAAGGTGCTCTGATAAATACAGGTAGATGTTGAAATGGAGATATAGGTCCAGTTCAAAGACCTTTTATCATCAGGAGCTGTCAGCATGAGGAAAGATATCAGAGTTGGGTTTTTATTAAAAATAAACTTATTTGGTTTTGCATCTCTGGAAAGGAAAGTGATTTGACTGTGTCAAGCACTCAAAACATTTGAGGCACAAGAGAGGCCTGCTTTTTGATGGTGAAGCTTTCTAGTCCTGTGTCAGATAACTGATTCCAAAGAGTGAGCACAGGGATCTTGCTCTTGAACAAGACAAACAAATGATGTCAACCATACTATGGCTTGTTTGCAGTAGATGGAAAGGATGATGTAGTATTCAGGATTGCTTACTTCCATTAATATTTAAATCTTACTGTTCAAGGCTTAAACTGTGTTTTTAAATTTCACTGTTCAAGGCTTAAACTGTGTTTTTCAGATGGATCTGATTTTCCCAGCTAGGTACTGCTTTTATCTAGGTTGTTTCTAAAAGTTGTAGTGATGATATGGAGGATGGCAAGTCTGAAGTATTATTGTAATGCTGTGGGAAATGTTTCCTATGCACTTTCTGGTACCTTCATTGCTCATTGTCATTGCTCTGATACCCTTATTGCTCATGCATACAGGGAAACAGAATTTTTGTAGTCAGAAATCCAAATTTTCTCTACTCTACCAGCTGAAGTCAGGAATTGTGTCTCTGACCTCACCAGCATTTCTTAAGACTTGAACTGCAAAATGGAGAGTAGAGTCTAGAGCACCCATTACAGGGTTCTTTTAGCCTCTTTTAGGGCACATTAGAGGGCTCTTGTAGAAATTGCCTTCTGTAATCTAAGGTAAGACTGCAAAAAGAGACATAGAAAGATGCAGCCATATTTCTGTTACTGAGGTCTATGCATGGACCACATATGTGTTTTTGAGACTTAGAAAACTTATGGGGAGATGATTTATGCAAGCCATAGCTTTGGCCTGTCTGGTTACCATTATTGCTCAAGAACAACTTAACCATAATGAAAATTACTCTACTGCATTGCAACGACACCCTGAGGCACCAGTGTTTATCCTATGTAACCTATACATATAACTGGTCGTTTAAAGCTGTGATAACCTCAAAATGTTTTTTGCTTTTTCCCCCCTCAAAAGATGGTAAGAAAAAAGCATGGTTGGAATGAGAACTTCTGAGGTCTCCTGGCAGACTTCCATAGTGGCCTGCAAAATTTGCTTTGCCAAGCTAAACTGGACTGGTGGGTGATAGCTGCAGACTTCTGTAATTTTTGGTGTCTTTCTGGTGATCTCACTGTGGGGAAATTGGGAATTAAGTCTAGTGGAGAGGGACATAAAAGGGAGCTATCTCCCTCTCTCTGAGCTGTGTTGGTTGTGCAGGGTAAAGTGGAATCAAAAGCACTAAGAAATATTTTAATTAGAGAAGTCAGTAGAAATTTCTCAAAAATATTAAACAGATATCCTGAATAAATTGTTGGTCACTTTTGCAGTCCTTTCTTTAAGGACAGAAACATAGCTTTTTTACAATGCACGGTAGGAGACAAAAGTGGGGTGATTTTTATTCATTAATACAATTCTGATAATGGCCAAGTCTGGTTTTTGTGATCTCTTTGCATTGTAGTCTGGCAACTACTTATTCTTATATAAAAAGGCAACGCTCATTACAGCTACCTGCACAGGAGACAAATGATAGAAATTGGAGTTATAGTTGCTTCTAGAGTGCCATGGCACCTCTTTCCTGGTCTCCTTCCCAGTCAAGTTACTCAGCTAGGATTTTGTGAGCATGGCAATAAATTAAGCATGCAAATCTCAGTGGATGTCCAGGTTTGGTGGAGTTCTTTCATTTGGTTCTTCATTTGTTTGTTTTTGGATCAGAGAAGAAAACAACTGTTTTACTAAGTATGAAACAAACTTTTCCATATTTTTTGGCAAAGCTACTGAAAGCAGTAGGCCCTCAGTAGGACACCTGTATACTTATTCCTGGGTTCACTTATTGATTCTGGTGGTTTTAAGATGCTTTGTTCTCACTACTCTTCCTGGCTGATTTGCTGTGGGAGTTAAACAAAGGACTCCTATTTGACAGGACAATTCCTGTGCCCTCAGATGAATTTAAGAAATCATGCAAAAGAGAATGGCTCTCACAGCAGAGAGGATGCTACATTCCCTGCATGCACCACCCCTAGTGCACCTGTGGTCCAGTGCCTAAAGTTCCTTAAAGCATTCAGGACTTGGGTTACATCCAGTTTCTGAGGAGTAAAAAAGAGGAGATTTTACTCAAGTCTCCAGCACGTCAGATAAGTGCCATGGCTACACAGCATGCACAGTTGGTGTCTTATTTTGCTGATTTTGTAGAACCATTCAGAGCATCTAAATTGGAAATTGGAATAACTGCAGAAGCACAAGACTCTGACTGGTCTCTGAGGAATGTATCTAGTGGTCCATCCACTGACTAATGTAGAGAGAACCTAGACTCATCTGGTAAGCACCCTAAATTAGTTGGCTTTGGGTTGAATACAATCCTAAAAATCCCTCTGTGAATCTAATATGAACAAGCTGTGCTATCCAGAAGTGCTGTAATAAAACATTTGAATAATTAAACATTATGGCTTTGTTTATTCTCAAATGTTTTCTTAGGCTAATATTATTCTCTGAATTCACTAATATTTTCAGGAGGAAAGAAATGCATTTCATATAAATAAACCATGTGCAAAAGTAAATTAAATTTAAAAATATGTAACTACAGAGTGTTTTTCCTGCTTTCATATTGCTATCTTGAACATAAATTTCCCTTCTTCATGCTTTTCATTGACAATTTTCTCTCTTCTTGGTGATCAGTTTGTGAGATTAGTGACTGATTCTGGAATGGAGGGTGGTTTGTGCTTGTGCACTTATTACCTGCTTTGCTCCCATGGTGCCTCTACATGGTACAGCACCATTCAGTTTATGGACAAAAAATGTCAAAACTAAATATAAAACCTAAATAGAAACACTTTGAAAATTGTTGTCCGTCATCTCAAACCAAATTACTTTCAAAGACCTTCTAAATAAAGCGTTGGATTTGCACTTCAATTAAGGGCGTGCAGCTTTTTATTCCAGAGCAGCCAACCCATTTTGCTCCCTGATCTCTTTCTCTCTGGACATATTTCATAGAGTCTAAATAGCTGTTTCTTTTGTGTGTGCTGCAATTTTAAATTGCCCTGGTTGAGGCTGTTTTCAGGCACAGCCATGTGCTCCCCTCAGTGCAGATGGACTGTGCGTGCATACGTACTCGTGCAGAGTTTCTGCTTCTGTTCTTTTTTGCTGCTTTCAGTAAAGATTTTGAAGACTGGAGGCATGGCTTTTCCTTTTGAATATGGGAATATTTAATGCTGTGTTTTTCACTGGCAAAAAGTGAAAGGGAAAAGTTAGAACTGATTTTTTGGGATAAATGAGCTCTTGGATTCATGGACCTGGTAGTACCACTACTATTGATGCAGACAGCCTTGTCCAGGACAGTTGTCCCATACAAGGAGGATTTCTTCACGTGAAGGGAATTTTAGAACTTTCAAGTGTTCCTGCAGGCAGTTCCTTCGTTGTTAACATGATCTTGTGAACAGGGTTTAGTGACCTTTCTCATGTAGAGCAGGGTACCAGTTAACCTCTGAGTGCAGATGTTGGGGCTGAGAGAGAACATTAACATTCTATATAAAGCTAAGAATTAGGAAGTTAGAGAAATAAATTGAGTTTGAATTCTGATCACGTGTTCTGGAGTTAATTATTTCATCATCAGTTCAGAACTGATGCTTCAGACTTTCTTACTGCAAACAAAATCATTTACACCTTCTCCTCAGCAGCACTAAATCAGTAATTTCCAACCTCTACTGGTAAAAAGGCAGGGCAATTCAAATTCATATCTAAGTATACCATGTCTCTCTTCATCCACTATTTGCACATGTAAAATTTGTAAGAATCTTGAGTTACAGCCTGCAGATGTAACCTGATGAGTAGAGACAGAAGGAGCATCTTGCTTTTGGGAATTCCATGAGAAATCAAGGTATCAGTGTCCATGCTCAGGTCACATGGCAGTATTGAGGATGTGAAACATGCAAGAACTGGCTAATTTAAAACTGCACAATTTTCCTTCTTAGTGTGACAGCATTCTGCAATGATGGCTTCTGCAGCTGCTCCAAAGCATGCAAAGACAGTAGCAAGACATAAGCAGCAGGTCCCAAAAGAACCCTGCAGTTGGGTGTAAACAGTCACAATGAGTATATTCAGAATTACCAAACCTTTATTAAGCAGGCGTTGGTCACCACTTGCTTTGGATCTACTATGTCCACCAAGGGCTCCTTCATGGCAACATCCCTAATACAGGTCATGTCAAAGCCGTACACATTCTCCCACCCTGTCAGTGCAAATGGATTTGTCAAGGTTAGCAGCAATAATAGAAAATATTTTTTGCTTCTCAAAGCATTTTTCTTTTGAAAGAATTTCTACCATCCCCTAATTTTCAGATGTCCCCTTCAGCTCTTTGCTCCCTGCCCTAGCTGTTTATGTCCTCATTACTATTTTACAGATCATGCAGTTCTGGCAAAATAAGCCCTCAATGTACACCTTTAAACAAGCAGCCCTTATTTTTTGGCATTTCCAAAACTGTTTTGTATGAGATTTGTCGACGATTTTTGTGGCTTTAGACTCTTGTGATTGTTGCCCAAAATCATCTGATGTCAGGCTGAGTGTTGGGGTTTTTGTTTGGTTTTTTTTTTTCTTTTTTCTCATAGGTTGCCAATCAATTGGCAGTTTACATGGTCTTTTGATTATTTATGCAGTTTTAATTTCAGCAAGTAAATTACTGGCAGGAGTAAAATTGCAGGTGTGTTTCAATAGCTGGGACTCCAAGTTTAAACCTGCACGTACATCATGACAGAAAAGCAAAAGATTCACTTTGAAAAGATTTAAAAGCCATGCCAATCCTCTGTATTTGAATTGTTCTTCTGATTGTTCCAACAAATGCGTCTTATCATGCTGAGGATTTGTTGCACAAAATGAAAACATTGAAAAATGCAGAAGTACACTGGCTTTGCTTTTAAGGTTGCTTAACAAAGCGAAAACAAGAACCTTCAAATAAGTGAAATCTTAAGTCTTATGAAGCATGTAAGTCAAGGTCCATTCAGTGCTTCATCTCAACATATAAACTGAATACTGGGAGTGTTTTATAAATGGCTTGAACAAAAAACAAAGTAAACAGATAAACACATTTGTGAGCATGTTTGAAATGCCTCATTTTTTTCAGAGCGTAGCATTTGAGCTGCTGGAGTTTCCAGAGGATCATGACTGAAAATGTCAAGTGATATAAAAATCTGCATATTCCTGAATTGGAAAAAACATGGACATGAATGATTCTTTGATATCTGTTTGTTATCTCTTCAATGGGTTGTGAGTTTTTCAGCATCTCAGGGAGCTGAAACTTTTGTTTCAGGCATCATGAGCATGTGGGAACTTCAGATTACATTTTTAAAAGTTATATATTTTTATGCGATTACTCAGAAAAGATTACATAAGAAGCTTTAAGAAACAACTTGTTACTTTTTTATTTATTTTTTGGGTCTCCATAATTTACTGCACCTCAGCCTACATGGGATACCTTAGAAATATGTGGCCTAATTTTTCTTAGGCAGAGAGCTGTCATGGGAGGTGAAAAATAAAATTATATGTTTTACATTTTGCAGTAAATTAGAGTAATTGACTGTAGTAGTACTCTGTGGCAGTAATCTTCAGTTAGAAAAATCCGAAGTTTGATTTTTTTAGAAACCTCATATTGCATTATTTCTTTATCAATATAATGGTTCTTGAACGCCCTTTAAAATGCTCAGTCTCACATCTCATACAAAGGAAAGGCCCCTTAAGAGAGAAAAAGATGAAAAACTGAAATGTAAGGAGCACCATCAAGGATTTATAAATGGAAAGAAGAGACAAGGTGGTGGTGCAGATAGATAGTGGGATGGAAATAACTGAGGACACAGAGGTATATATGGTAAGGGGGGGAAGGGAAATCAGAGGTGAAATCAGAAAATAAAGTGTCTTAAAGGAAAACAACATTTTAGAAGAGGAAAAAATATCTTTGTACATTTTTTCACATGGCTCAAAATGAAACAATTTGAAAACAGATGTATTGTCTGTGAGAAAAGAAAAAAGACTCAAGGTCTAGAAAGGAAGGAGTTCAAAAGCAGAATGAAAGATTTCAGGCCAAAATGGCTCGGGTTCCTTTACAGGATGGATACCTCATACATCCTTTTGAATCTGTACATTTTGTAAGGAGTTTAACTGTCAAGGTCATCACATAGCTGAGGACAAAAATGTAGGCTGTGCTTGAGGAGAAGATATAATCCTTCCTGACACCTACAGAGACTTCCTGTCACCGCCCCACTGCACTGGGCTCACTTTTGACCCAAAATAGCAATTTTGACCAACTGGCAGTTCTGAGTATTAGCACTGAATTTGATTACAAAAACACAAGCCTTCTTTTCTGGGAGGAGGTGAGAGTCAAGGAATGAGGAGTTAGGCATTTTTATTTAAAGGTTGTCTGAACCCACTAATTTAACCCAAATTTTCACATGTATTTTTGGTTAATAAATCTGTTTAGGAATTTTGTGGTTCTTTTTTTTTTCATAATGGAAAATACCTTTAAGTGAAACTGACCAGCTCTGAAAAATAAATAAAATCAGAAAATGTTGAAAGGAAAAGAAGAATGAAATAATGAAAACTTGTTCATTTGATCACAGTAGGAGCCTGGACTAGGTCACTTGTAGATGTCACTAACAGCACCAGTTATTCAAATGATACTTCAAGGAAACTCTCCAAACATTTTAAAAGCAAAGGAAAAGTCAATTTTATGCATCTATGAAGTATTAAAAAACCCCAAATTAGAACCCTTTTTAAACATATAAGTAAAAATTAAATTTCTGATCCTTATTTTTAATTTTAAAGTTCTTGCATAAAATGTTTTTTAAAAAGCTATGCATGTTGTGGAATTTTTTCTTTTTGGCAGGCCATCATGGAGATATAATTATTTTTCTAGGTTTATTTCTTCACATGTACAATTAATTTGCATCTTACTGCTTTTATGTTTTTGTATGTTAAAAACAAAAATAAGGACCTGAATGGCAAAATAATATTACTGGGCTTTTTGGCTGTTGTGATGGATTATATATTTATCAAAACAACAACAAAACTAAATCTCCTTTAATCCACATTTTAAATATAGATAGAGATATTAATATAACTCTAGGCAAAGTCTTCATCAGTTTATACATGGATCCTTCCTTTGCGCACTTTAAATTACTGCAAATTTCCTGAATTTATCAGCAGACCAACATTTTCTCAGAGATCACATTCATATTGGAATTCTGGCCTGCAAAGAGATCACAGTAGGCTACTGGAAATGGAAGTTTTTAGAGAAATAACCACAGAAAAGTATTACTGGCAGGTGCTTACTCACAGTGAATTTTGAAGTCCTTGTACTGTCTGTCTTCAATTGCTACCACGTACAAAGCAGCTCGGTCTGGAAACATTAGCCCTCCAGGTTTCTGTTGATGAATTGTGGGGAAATGGATCTCGTAATCTATTCACCTGACAAAGACATCACATTTTGAACTGCACATACAAAAACCAGACAAGCACCCCTTGCATGCCTTTATTGTTTTCCTTCAGATTTGCACACCAGCTTTAACCTCGCAGCCTGCGGCAATGTCATTAGACAGTGTCTAGGCAAACTTGGCCAGCCAGCACTTAATCAAAAGCAAAGCTCTTCCACTGAGGTTCTCTTTGTTATCTCCTCGTTAAGGCCTAAGAAATGGCACTTGGGGATGTGACTGTGTCTCGTTATGGTGACAGTAGGGAAGGGAAAGCTTGTACTCAGAAAATAAATGGTGACTGCTCCGGCAAGGAGCACGGCATGCAGAGCACCTACCAGCCACTTGTCTCGTGCGAAGATGACTGTGTTTAACATTGACTCATAGAACAGACAGTAACCCATCCACTCGCTGATTATGATGTCTACTTGATCCACGGGTAATTCAACTTCTTCCACTTTACCTTTAAATATTGTGATTACTGAAAAGAGAATCCAAAGAAATACATTTCACATAATAAAACACCTGACTAAGATCCTTACTGGTGAATGTCAGGCTGACCTTTCCAATATGATTATCTTCTTGAATGCCTATCCATAAAGCTTCACTCCATGTGACTCAATGCATTTCACACTTTTAAAAAACTATTCAGAGTACGTATAATAAACAGAGTTTTTAGTATCAGTATAAAAAGAAAAAATACTAACCCAAAATCCAAAGGCCAAACAAACAAAACCCACCATGTCTAAAAACAACAGAAAAACAGGCCTTACCTGGTTACCTGTATGAACTCATTTTAAAATGCCCTTTGGAATTTGGCAGATTTCTAGATCATTGACCAAGAATAGCAAAGAATACACTTAGAAGCATTTAAACATCCCTGCAAGTTTACACACTAATATTTGAATGTTAGGCCATATTTAGTTCAGTTGTAACAAGTAGTTTTTTTTTAGGACCACTACACAAGTCACCACTCATTCCTGCTTTAAAAAAAAATCCTATTTACAAATGTATTTTCAGCTTGTGCTAAATAATTTTCAGTGTGTGTTTCTCTCATGTTTATATTGTTTGTTGCCGTGAGTAAAGTCTCATGGTTCTGGATTCTTCCTTGAAAAGGTAGATGCACTTGAAATTTAGGAATAAGATAAATATTCTGCTTTCCATTACTAATTGATAAGATTATTCCACTACCCTTAATTCATGGTAATTTTTAATGATAACAGTTTTTATTGATTAAATGGTCAATAGTCAGTTTCACAAAAATGAAAGTAATTTAACTTCATTTAATATAACTTAGCTAGAACTAGGTTAGCTGAGTGTGGAAGTGTGGGTTGAGTGATTTTTAGAACACAGCCCAGGGAAAAGGAGGTTTTTTCTTTCCCAAACACATGCAGTACTAGTATTACTGTAACCAGATGTGGCCATTTTATTTGCATAGCAAATTTTTAATCCAGACTGGCCCCCTAAGAAATTGGGAATGCTCTGACTCAGACTGGTACCACAAAGTACCAGCTGATAAGAGCAACTTGACTGGAAAAGAGTTCTTTTTACCATTATTTAAACTAATTTCTTTTATAATTAATTCAACAGATCATCTCTTGTTATACTGAAGACTTTTCATGTCTATAAGCTCCAACCATGAGTTCTCTTTGGTTCTCTTTTCTCGCAAGAACTTTCACTGCCCCAATCCTTTTGGAATGAATTTTAGCAGTGTTGACAGCTGCAAGAGTGACACACCTGACTTTGAGGCCCCCTGTTTACCCCTAGAACAGTCACAGTGTAAGCAGCAGCAGCAGCACTGGTTCCTCCCATCTCCCTTCACTTCATAAGGCATCATGTGGGGACAGATTGTGCTGTCCCCCGATGTATTGCATGTATCTGTTCTGGAAGCAGTGGGTTTTCCCTTGGTTCAGCCCCTTTTGCTGACTCTGCATTGCTCAAAACATTTTGGGGTGGGGTGGGTGGGAGAGGAAAACTTCCATGAGCAACAAGATCCTTTGGCTCAGTACCTGGCTGCACTAGAATAGATGTGAATGTGGCTCAGTGTGGAGTGTGAAAGTGTAAATGTTGGCTCAGGTGTGCAGTTTGCAGACCAAACTGCAGCCAGGCAGACTGCTGAACCTCGCCTGCCACGTCTCCTCCCGAAGGGAGGGGGTTCTGCTTCTGCCTCCACACTTTCCCACTGACTTTCTCCTTGCTGAAACAGGAGGAAAAAGCAGAGATAAAAACCTTCTGCACCTTCTGGAGAACACTGGAACCTTCTAATTTATTCTGACAATGGTCCCTTCACACACAGTTCCTGCTGCTGGAAATCCAAACACGAATTGATTTGCGGCGCGCTATTTGCATCTCTAGCGAATGAAAGACATTCTGGGAACACACAGCCTTTGCATCCAAGGTTCAGGACAACCACAGAGGTCACACCTCACTGCTTTAGTGCCTTATCCCTGCTGTGGAAAGAGTATTTTCTGTCCCTTTGCTTCGTTCTTTTCCTGAACCAAGAGTTGCCTACGCTGGCTGGCCCCTTGTGTCCCACATCGCTGCTGTTTCACACCACAACACTTGAATGGCCGTGATGTACAATAAATATTCCTCCCAGAGAGCTCGGGGTTAGTCACAAACTGCCACTGACAGCAATAGAAATTAGAGCAGATCTGAACCATTCCTGCACATGTGCAGGCAGAGCATCAGCACAGACACAGCCAAAAGTGGGGGCACTTGGTACAGCCCAGCCATGACCTGCTCTGCAGCAAAGGCAAGCTCTTCACAAAAAAACACTTTTAAACGGGAGCTGTCTCACGGCCTCAGTTAAAAAAAGACTGATTTTTTAGGTTGTTACAAAGATATCTTGAGTGCTGTGATTTGGAGGAGGACTGAAGGCATGAAATAGAACTTGTTGGGGATTATTCTGTGCTAGGGGTTTTCAGTAGCTTGGGGTTACTTCTAGGTTTTTGGTTTTTTTTTTTTTTAATTTTTTTTTTTTATTTAGAGTTTCCATGTACTTGGAAATTTCATCAGCTTTCTTTTTGATCAAAAAAGAAGTTCTATATATTTTTATTTTATGATTTGAACATTTTCATTTGTGTGTTTTGATAAGGTTTTGAAAAAAGTATTTTCTTAAAGTGGGGAATCAGAAAACTTAGTGAAAAACTTTTGCTTTACACCTTATTTCAATTTGAATGTCAGTATGTGTGTTTGTATTTCTATTCTGTCCAAGAGAGAAGGTGGAATTATGATGGCAGAATTTGATAAGTTCAGTTCTAATAAAGGGTCTTCCTTCTGCTTTGCAAAACTAAACTTCCCGTTGATCAGTTCTATTTCCTTTTTTTGTCTCTGATAAATACAGAAGTGACAGTAATTCCTGTGAGGAATTGTTGTAGTGCCTAGAAAGAGGTGTTTAGTTTGTATTTACATTAGTAAATTCTGCAGAACTACCATTTACATGTAAAACACATCATAAATTAACCAGAAAAAGCAAAATTGTTATCTTCGCTTTTGCCTGGAAAAAAAAAAATATATGTCTTACTGTTGTCCAAGTGGTTGGCCTTGATAATTTTTTCTGAGTAGTCGGATATACTTGAGCATTCAATCTAGGAAAAAAAGGGAAGAAAAGAAAAGCAAGATAAAGAGCAATTTATGTGTTAGAGAGCTCAGCAGTGTGAATGAAAACTATTCACTGAAGGCAGCAAAGACTCTACCAAGCATGTAACCATTGATAAAGAGTAAATCAAACCTGTGGGAAGGATCATAATTAACGATACTTTAATATTTAAATTGTAGTCTGTGTCTGAGTTAAAGTGGCTCTTGTGGAAAAGATAGCTTTCAAAATTATTGAAATGTGAAAAAAGAAGAGGTTCTACCTACAAAATGTACATTATTAACTATATTTATTCCTGATACTTTAGAATATTGCCTCCTCCCCCACAAAAATCTGCTGAATTGAATGAATTAGGATGATGCTACATTTCTTTATATATTTTTAAACAAAATACATTCAAGCTTTGTGAATAATAGTAAAATTCAAATATGCCAATACTGGTCTATGCCAAGAAGCAGTTGTTTTCTATGTGAAAAACCTGTATTCTTTAGAAAAGCTGCTATTCAAAAAGAATGCAGTAATTTAACATATAAGAAAGGACTGAAATTTTCTATTTAAAAAAACATCCAGATATGCCTGGCTTTTTCTCTGACCAGTTCTGTGCTTTTTCTAGGAAAATAATTACAGAGTGCATCTTTTAGATTTGCCCCTAATCTTGCTAGAATCTGTGTACTAGCATAAAAGCATGTTTGCAATGATGTTTAATATCTTTTAGAGAAAAACTACATTCCATGAATCTCTCTGGGTTTTGTACCCCTTGAAAATCATAAGGGCCAAAGTTGCTTGTAGTCACTGAATCAGTTCCTAATTTACCTCTTCCTAATTTGGCATTAAATGGATGATACTACTTTGCATAATCCTTGTCTCCCTAATTCCCCTGTGGGAATGTCAACTAGAACTATATTATCTCTAATGAAGTGGTTTATATATCCAATGAATCCCATTTAATCTCTAAAAGCTAAATTGTGCTTGACCTCTGTGACAGCACTCACAGATGGCAGGACAGCAGATACAAGGACACACAAATCCTTTATTCTTTTTACATTGTGCATGAAACACATAATAACAGGCATATTGATTCTGCTTAGCTTGCCTGTGGATGTAAACCATTCCTAAAATATCTGGCTCAATGGCCTGAGCATAAATCAAAACTGGCTTGTGGAAAGGAACACCTGAGTGGCAGTCCAGGGAGTTCAAGGAAGAAATCCTTTGGGATGAGGGCTGTGCTTTTGCTCCATCCAGGTTTTTCCCTCACTATAAACCATATAGACTGTATGCCCTGTCTGTAGTTACTGCCATTATACTCATTTTCCCTGTCTGGTATTTTCAATTCCATTGCCTATTTTGGATGGTTTTTAAATAAAGCAGGCATAGGTAGGTGTTTGGAGGTTGCTTTCCAAACGTTCTAAAGAACAAGGTACAAAGAAATAAAAAGTTCTTTCTCATGAATGACAACAAGTTTCCAAAAATCTGCTTCAGATGCAAAGAGGCAAAAGAATAAAATCCCAATCATTTAAATATTTCATGAAGGACTACATATTTCAGAAAAAAAACTTGCTTTAGGGTGGCTAAAGCTGTGCATCTGCATTTTGACTTGGACTCATACTGTGGTGTAATTTTATTTTAAAAAGCAACTCATTTCAGAAGAAAAGAAAACTGAATTCTGCAGGTGAAGCAATAGAGGGAAAATTGATGTTGTTAGATTTTTTTCCTCAGTTTTCTTTCAAGCCAGTGATCTGCTCAAATCTGTCCTATTTCGCAAAGCATTTGGATTTTATGAAAAGCACACGTTCCAATAAAATAAGTCTGTACCTGAGTTTACAATCACAGAATCGTAGGATGGCTTGAGCTTGAAAAGAGCTTCAAAGGATTGCCCTGATTCAAGTGAAGGATCCTGTTCTTGGCCATGTTGAAAATCACAAGGTTGACACAGACCCACTCCTCAAGCCTGACAAGATTCCTCTGTGTGGCCTATTTTCCCTCGAGTATATCAGCTGCACAAAGCAGTTTTGTGTCATCTGCAAACTTGCTGAGGGTGAAGTCAATCCCACTATCCATTGTCCTTAATGAAGATCTTAAATAGCAGAGGTCCCAGCATGGACCCTTGAATTGCTTCAGCTGTATCTGGTTCTGTGTGTGTATATTCACCTCTGCCTTCATTTTACGTCTCAGTCTTCAATCTACTGTTGCAAATGTCTCCTCATTTACTGTGGTCTCCTCCTGAAACATCACAAGATCTCCAGGTTTCCCCTGGGCTGTGTCCTCATCACCACCTTTTTATACAAAGCAGCTGATATCTGACATCAGCCTTCATTTTCTCAGTCTGTTTAACTCCTTCTGCCCTGGACTGTCTGTCTGAAAATACCATGGAATTCAGATAGTTCTACTGCAGTGACTGTCCTGAATTTTGTATGACTAAATGTAGCAGATGAACCAAGGCTTCAAGGGACATTTTATGTATTTTTGTGTCCCTCGTTGACCCCTCCCAAGCACAAAGAGCTATGTGTCAATTCTATCTCTACGTTTCTTACTGTTAGATGAACATCAGGGCATGGCACACTGGTACTCTCCCACAAGGGTTAGGGCTCAGAGCAGGTGAAGAAAGAAGAGAAAAAGGAGGGGGCTGGTTCTGTTCAGGTTGTAGGAAAGATCCCCCCACAATCCAATAGCAATCTAAAAGTATCCTAAAAGGGCTTGCAAAGAAAGTAAAGTCAAACTCCTTTCTGAAATGCACAGGGACAAGACAAAAGTCAGTAATCATGAGTTGTGGCAAGAGAAATTCCTGTTGATTATAGGCCTAGAATAGGTGCTGAGAGAGTATTTAGAGTCTCTATACTTGGAGATTTTACAAATTGGACTGGAGGTGTCCTTGGCCAAGTTGATAGAGCTTTAAGTTGATGATTCTATGATTTACATCTCTTGAAGACCCAGAGATAATTCTAGCTGTTGGCTTATGTAGTGGCAAGGAATAAGTTCCAACAGTAAGTAAGAAGAGAGAAGAAGGATCAGACAAAGTAGTGGATGAATTTGAACCCAAAGAGAGAAAGTGTGAGTAAGAGGAGAGTGAATTCTGTAGTCAAAAAACCAACACTCTGCATTTGTCAACAGTTCCCACATCATGCTATTTGAAAAATCACATTTAACTGTAGAGAAGAAACTGGAACATCACAGCTCTGTGAAATAACTCATGGCAAATGTTTGCTTTTTAAATGGAACACTTACAGTTTCCAATGGCAAATATGACCATGAATTCACAAATTGACTATAAGATTGCCACAGCTAGGTTTGAAATGGCTGCTTGTCCGACACAAATCCACTCTGCAGCTTGCTGTGTACAGGGTTCATGGTGAGACAGCTCATCTGACAAGAAAGTTGCAATTATTTGGCTGTAGCAGAAGAGTTTCACACCTAAGGGAGTTCCTCTGAGAGTTAAGTTCCATGGATAGCACACCCACCAGCTTCAGTGATGAACAGTCCATCAGTGAGCTGGCACTGGTGTGTCACTGAGCTTTATAAAGTCCTGAGGTAAAGTCTGAGCTCTAAAGAAGTCCAAAGGGGAAAAAAATAAAAACCAAAACCCAAACACAAAAAACCCTCACAACAACAAATGTGGGAAAGTATTTTCTTTTACTTGGTGAATTTTCTGCCTGTGAGCCAGCTCAATGTAGAATCAGATAAGCACCAGTTCCAGCACAAGGGAGGGAGGAAGACCATATGGCCAGGGATCTGAGAGATGGGAAGGTGGGAGCACATCACCATCATTTTGTATATGCTTATACTTCTAGAGCACTGCAACATCTTTGAATGAGACCTGCATTTCTGCATCACAGAAAGTTTCTGGTTTATCCTCCCTGAGGCTTTGAGGTAATAAATCATATTAGTAAGTAATACTTGCTTTACAAGAAAATACATTCCAGCTGCCTATCTTGGGCTTAAACTCCAAAACTTTTTCCAGCACCTTTTGATTTCAGCTATCTAGAGTTCCACACTCTAGTCTGATATTCAAATGAGATACTCAGAAGTTACAGTGGATTTTGAAAATATAAGCCTGAGAATTGAAAAGGCATTTCATGTATCACTACCAGTGATAAAGACACACAGTTGGGGTACTTAGAGACATCAGTGTCTTCAAATGCACAGATGTACCCAATTAAGTTTTAGTAAACAATTTTGTTGAAGTACACTGAGAAATAGGATCTATTTCCCCTTTTCTATGTTGCATTGTGTCTTCAGGGCAAACAGAAGTCCAAAGCAAAAAGAAACTGCATTTGTCATTTTGGAGTCAGTACAAATAAGTTTGAATATACTTAGTAAGCAAATCTATGTTCTCTGTAATGACTTCTCTGCAGAGAACAGCACATTCATGCTCTTAAAGTTCAATGTATTTAAGGTAATAATTTCCTTCTGCCTCTGAAAAGTGTTATTGTTGGCACAGAAAACATGCACATGCTTTCTTGCACAATTTGCTGAGTTGTAATATGCAGGGAAAAGTGTATTAAGGAAATGTGTTTCCAAGACTACAAAGTTGCAGACCCTGAAAATTTAAAAAGCAAAATAGTTCCCTTAACCCCTCTGAGTAGGAGTGAGTCTCTTTAACATTTTTTTTCAGCCAAGAAGAAATGTGAATATGTACCAGAACACCAAAGGTTCCACATTTGAAAAGATATTTACATCCCCATTTGGAAAAGGTGCAGTAGTGCAAGTCACAGAATACAACAGAACTGCACTGAAGTCACCATAAACCAAGCCATAGATGAGCTTGGAGAGTAGAATTTCGAACCAAGACATGTAAAAAAAGGTAAATCACAAAGCCAAATTGTCAGGCAAAATGCACAAACAAATTCAAAATGTGAGATAAAATCTTCTTACCCCATATACCTTCTTGGCTCCTGCCTTTGCAGCAAACATGGAGAGGATTCCCGTGCCACTTCCAACATCGAGGACAATCTTATCTTTAAAAACATGTTTATTGTGATACATTGAGTTTCTATAAGTTAATGTGCGCACTTCATCTTTTAACATTTCCTGTGATGAAAATAAAAGGATTGTGTCACTATTTGAAATGCTTATATGCATTCCACACTGCTGCTGAATGCATTCCCTTGCTGTCATTTAAGCATTATTAACACACAACATGAAGGGTTTCTCAACTACTTTGGGGTGCACACATCAAAGCAACTGTAAAACGCCAACTACTTAGAGCTGAATTATTAAGAAGCAGCATGATGTCCCTTGTATAATTTTGTTCTGCTATTACTTCACTGTTACAATCAACAAGCAGAATGTAATCTAACCACAGCACTGCTCTGAGAATAGACAGAAGCCATACAGAAGCCAAACATCCCTTTACTTCTAAATCATGCACAGCCCAGAGCCTCCTTGGAGGGACCTTCTGAGGTTCCTCTTTTAACAGACAAGAAATTCCAGAAGACATTATACAACAGCAGGCTTGACAGCCTTGCCCATGTGAGGCAGAAGCCCATAGCAGAGCTTAGAAATCCTGTATTGTAAGGTCCTCCCTCACTGCTCTTTCCATTTATTTACCTGATCAATTTCCAGAAGATATTAATGTATCACCTAGACTACTATCCCGCTAGTTTGAGATGCCATTGTTAGGTGCTGATTTTTGATGAACTGATAGCAGTACATTTAATTCCATTGATACCTTGCTTTGTCTTGTACATCCATCAGTCAAACTATATCGATGAAAAGGACCCAGCTCAAGACCTGGGTGCCATTTTTAAGAGAAGTGTAGACCATTCAACACAGACTTTAGTTTTCTGAAAATGCTTCTGTTACATCTGGAAGACTGAAGGTTTGCTTATACTATTGCCTAATTTCATAGTTTGAACAAGTAGACAAATTAGTTTTTCAATTTCAGGATGAAAAGGATCTGTTCACTACCCTGCAGTCTGAGGCAATCATGAACTGGATTGTTGCATGTACCAGCTGCTTACTTGCCTGTCTTGGCAGGACACTGTGTGTGCTCAGTAACTGCAGATGAATAAAAGGCAACTTTTATCATAAATCATGGTTTGGTACCAGGCAAAGAGCAGTCCATCACCACTGGAAAGGTGTGTGTACACCCTCGTGGAAACTGCTTCCACACATATTAAGAACAAGAAGATGACTGGGAGTGTTCAGCAGGGATTTGGAGATGACTGAGCACTTGGTATCTTTCTGTGGTGAAATAATGAGCTTTGTGGATGAGGGAAGGGGAATGAGGAAGAGGAATGTTTTTTATCTTGATTTTTTTGCAAAATTTTCAACATTTTTCCCATAACATCCTCGTTGAAAAATGGATGAATTATGGTCTGCATAAATGTTCAGTGCAGTGGGCTGAGAACTGACTGAACTGCTGCTCCAAAAATGTTGTAATGAGCAGCACAAAGTCCATCTGGAGGCCAGTCGCTAGTAGTATTTTCCCAGGTGTCAATACTGATGCCTTTTGGCCTGTTTTTCAGGTGGATTCATGTCTTCCTAGGAGACCTCAATCCTCAAAGAAGGTCCCATAGTAATAAAAACCAAAAAACTTGTCAATTGTGGGCCTGTGGTAACACTTCTCCTCAAGTCCTTGTTTGTGCTGTTGAAATTGAGGCAAAAATCCACCTGGCACACCTTGCTGTTGATCATCATTCTGAGAGCTGCCCAGTGACACTTCCTATGCTCCAGGTCCCACTGGTGCTCATGTAGAACATCAGAAGGCTCTAAGGGCTGCTCTAAGGGATGGACAAATGTCAACAGCCTCTCCACAATGTCCCAGAACTAAATGCCTTGGCAGAAGGTCTTTTCATCAGATGGGGGGTTCTGTACCCTGCAGGTGAGAGCCTTTGCAGCTATCACTTGTCACCTGCTCCCCGTGCTTCTGCCTGGATCAGAGCCCACTGGTTCTGGAGGTTTTTTGGACAGAACTTCCTGCCCCTCAGCTACAATGAAGACACTGACCCTATTCCATACCCAGAGATCTGCAGGTGGATCAAGAGACTCCCTCCTGTTCCCAGCAAGAACAAATTTCCAGCCTTCAGCATCAGAGGAGTCCCCACTTCCAAACCTGGTAAGTACAGACTCTTACTGTCTCTCCTTTCACTGTGGTTGGGGTTTTAGGATCTTGTACCTTCATGCTCTCAGACAAGATCCAATCAGTCTCTTCCTCATGCCCCTGATGCTTCAAAGTCTGCCAGCCTCCTCTGTCAGCTCCTTTACTTGTTGACACAGATTTTTACAGTGCACATCTCCTGCAGGCAAGGAAGAAACTTCCCAACTTCAGCAAGAAGCTCTTTGCACTCCCTGAGACCTACATGGCTGCATCCTTCCATTAGGAGCTCCATTTGATTTATGGTCTCTGATGTGTCTTCAAAATTTCTCCTAGGTCTCCTTCCCACTCAATTGTTTCTCTATCTTCTCCCATTCTTGGACTGAATTTCTGAATGCTACAATGGCAAGATGTTATTGGCAGATAGAAATCCTTTATGTTTACACCCCACAAATAATTACTAGAGTAATGGAAATATATATTGTTTGTTATACTGTTTGTGAGGAGTGCACTTAGTCATTTCACGTTTGCTTTTTTGCATCCTGCTCTTAAAGATCTCATCCTCTTGCATCACAAAAATATCAGCAGGGCAAGGTATCAGTGACTTCTTTAGAACTTGTCTACAGTTAACATTTTGATAGTAAATGGTCCATCAAGTATTTAAAATTCTTTCCAGGAGTGTATTTAATGGAGGTGATTTGGCTTAATGTTCCCATCAATGCAGTCTGTGCATTCAAGTTACATGCAAGAGTCAAGAAACTCTTTGGCTTCTCATGTCAGCTGAGCAGCTGTTCTGCTGATGTCTGTGCTCAAACATGCAACAGAACAAAATCCCCAACTTGGCAATAAGGGACTGCCCATGATTGTGGCTGGGCTTGGTTTGCAGCCCTCATAAATGCACTGCATTGGTGCACTTGTGAAATTCACCTCTGCACGGACAGCTACAATAAGAATCTAAGTGGGACAGAGGTTTTGAGTGCAAGTCTCTAGAGAAGTGGGTGATATCTTTGGCACTTAACCAGACTACACAATAGTCTGAGGAAAGAGAAAGCAATATAATCATGAGCAAATGGGATACAGATAAGGAAGTAAAAAAAATAAGAGAAATAATGAGAATTATTATTATTACATTGTTAGTTATTTAACAATCACTGAAACAAAAATAAAGGTTACCTCATGAATTCCAAAGTGAGCATAGGAATCAAAGTAATAATCCCTGGATGTCATCTCTTCTGGATTGATGAGCTTTGCCATCTTGCCTCGGCCCGGGCAGCTTGGTTGCAATGGAACATGGATGACAGACTGAACAGGCTTTGGAACAACAGTAGGCTGAGGAGGCTGGGATGGAATGGTGCAAACCTAGGAGAACATGGAATATTGTTAGGAGACATAATTAAAAGAAAATATTTCTCTCTATGTCTAGCATAGTGCTATTATTGTTAGCGCTATTGTTGTAACTATCCAGCAGATAACAAGTCCAAAGACACCTGGTGTATTGTAAGTGAAATTTAGGCTGCCTTCTGTTCCTGGATCTTTAACTTATTTGATGTCTTGAAATATTTCCTTCATGGATTTTTCCTTAATGTTTCTCTGCAGATACCTAAATTAGTGCAGAGTAATGGTAAATTATGGGTGTTGGCTGATAACTTATTGACACAAAGCAGTAAAGTGCTACTTTTTCTCCATTCATGTCCTATTCTGTCAAACTGCCACGTGAGAGGCAGGTTGCAATAAATAAATAGTTCATGTGCACAGAAGAGCTCCCAAAAAAAGGATTCCAGACACAGTGTTGCCAACAAGGGCAGGATTCACAATCAATTCTTAATTATCAGGTAGGGTACCTGTCTATATTGATGAGCTAGGTCTGAGAAGGCTCACAATATCTGAAAGTCCCTGATGCTATCTGAAAGTCACTCAGCATATCCAAGAAGCACTGCAGGGAGCTGTGTGGCACGTTTGGTCCCTTCATGTAGTTTCCTGTTGTTGGGAGATGCAGGAGTTACGTGTTTGCAGCACACCATGGCCCCCATTAATTTTTTTATTGTGTACTGCATCTCCAACACCAGCATTTTGATAAACACAGAATTCTCACACCCCCTTGGTTCAGATTTGATACCTGTAGCACATAATTTGAATGTTTTTCAAATATGAGGTAAAACAGACCCTGGTCTGGCCCATGTGTGTATCTACATTTTGAATCCCTAATATGTAGCAAAATGCTGAAAACTGAGACAGAGCAATATGCTACAGCTTCACCTAAGCACTAAGTCTCCTGCAAATTATGGGTCAACAGCTTCATATATTAAGGTCAATCCTACTTTAAATATATCATATCCTTTTGTACTTTTAAAAAATCTTTTTCAGACTCAATAGTTTCCCAGTGGGGACCAGAGTTGCCTGAGCCTCTCCTCACTACTTTCATAAAGTTCATGCTGTCTTCTATAGCTTGGGTACTGTGAGGTGCCAATCCCTTGCACTGTCTATGAATAGCATCAATTAGCCTAGTTCAGTTTGCTTCAATAAAAAAAAAAAAAAAAAAAAAAAAGAGGAAGAAGAAAAAAGGCCCCCAAATTTTGTAGATTTCTATGTGTCATCTTTTGATGGCTTCTTTGGTCCATCTGTTAAAAAAGTAAATACCATTGGTTTATGTTCCTGTAACATTTTTCATCTGCAAAGATACAGAAGTGCTTTATTTATAAGTATTTTCTATTTCTTACACCTTTTACTTTATCATCTCACTCTGTTCACCTCACGTAGTTCACCTCCCATGCAGAATACGCTTGCTCCCAATTGGTGTTTGTATTTCTGTTTGGTCTTGTTTCAAAAATGTCCATCTGCAATCAAGTAATTACTCTTAAGACATTGTTTCATTGCCTTTCCATTGCAAGCAGTAACACTGAAAACTTACTCTGTCAGTGTTTCTTTTAATATTAAACTCTTTCAAATATAAACCTTCTACTTTTAATCACATACTTGAAGTTATATCGTAACTTTTTTCTCCATTGGCACTCACCCTATGTAATTTTTGCAGTTATCTTTTTCAGCAGTCCTTTCTGTATTTGTCTGCTGGATTACAAAGACTGAAACTGTAGGTGTTTGAAATTCTGTTTTATTATAATACGAGATCTGTAAGGTCCTACACTTTCCTCCTAAATCTTACCCTCTGCATCATTTTACAATCAAAATACAAAAGTTTATATAAATTACAAAATAAAACAGTCACTGAATTCTGTTCCTGTCTTACGTAAGGATGTCTCCAGACACACAACAGTGCACCACAGGAAATTGCTCAAAAGATATGTAATGGAGAGGTTATATCAGTTTTTGTAAATGAAACCAGGGGGTTTCTAGCATTTCTGCTGCTGTCAAACTACAAATTTAAATGTGGTTTACTGTACAACAGAGAGCATTTGCTACAGGAAAAAGTCTGGTCTTGAAGGCAAAGCTCCCATCTGGATCTCAGGCAGTATCAATTCTGCTCCCGGCTGCATGGGAAGGTCCAGACAGGATTATGAGAACAAGGTTAGTCTCACTAAAGATACTGAATTAAATTAATCCTAACACTTAGGCTATGAAAGATCATTCAATTTCTTTACTGTAAAAGAATTAACATCACTGTTTCCTGGTCTGCAACTGAATTCTGCTATGGCCAAGGGGTGGCAAGATAACTTTTATTAAGCTACTGAGACAGTATTGCACCTTTGACTTGCAGTACTTTTCAGATTTATCCAAACTACCTGAAGACTTACTGCTCTCTACTATGCATCTACATCTTTACCAGGAAGAGCATATCCCACCCAGCAGAAGAAGTAAAAGCCTATTAGCTCTGCTTCTCAGCTACCTTAGTTTGCAGCCAAGCAGCCTGTGAAAAAAACGTGTTGATGGTGTTTGACAACATTTGGCTCTGAATACCAATAGGTCCATCCTGTACTGTGGGTACCACAGCCTCATGCAGCAGGGGCAGTAAAAAACTGCATAGGGGTGGTGATCTTCTCAGCCAGCAGCACTCTGTCACAGGGACCTTAAACCAGCTGCCTCATTTCTGCTTTAGGCATTCTAACACAATGCAGACCTTCTGGATTCAAACGGTGTAAATTTTGCAGCACCTGTAATACCTCCTGCTGAAATTTCTGTGTGTAGCACTGTAATTCTGGAATTCCAAAATAGTATCACAATTATAAGAATTAATTTTGTGAGTGGGGCTCAGGAAATCCCTCTGTCAATAACTTGCCACATGAAAAATTCCACTTGAGAGTGACTTATGCCCTATGGCAACTAATATCTGGGGAAAACATAAACACAGTGGATAACTGCAGAATAAAGAATTGCAATGAAAGCTATTATTTTTATCAGAAACAATAATGTCTTTCCGTGTACGGCTCTGAGATTGTAAACTAGAAAGAACTATTCTTTTAGGGATATGCTATAATTGCTTAGGGACAAAACAGGCTTTAGAACAACAGCTATCAAGGAAAGACAACTTCCTATATTCTTCCCAGAACTGAAAACAGCCCTTGATGTGATTTGCAAGGTTAGCATATATATATATATAGCCTACATGAGGAACAACTCATCTTTTGAATAACACCTGAAAAGGGAAAGCATCTGGGCTGGGGGCAAACCTCACACCAGTGTAAAGAATCTAAAAAACTCTCACTGCAGAACCCATGTATGGATTCTGGCCAGCTGCACACAATTCCAGAACACTGGCTTGCTGCTAATGCAGATGAAGTCTGAAAGAATGGAAGCAGCTGCTTCAGAATTCATTCTTCACTGTGCTAATCATGCAGCCCTCTATTTTTCCATTTCCCATGTGGTACTGAAGGTGGAGGTGGGGGGTCTGAAGGATCTGAGAAGCCATCTATCACCTCTTTGCGACTGAAATCCTACCTTTGTGTACCATTTCCACATTTAAATAAAATTAAATTAGAGAAACACTTTCTTACTTTTAAAAATCAAAATTTATTTCCTCTTTCTTTGTGGACTGGGTTGGTGCACTGCAGGTGTTCAAATGTACTAGCACAGGACTGGTTTCCTTAAAAGCTTTGAATTCCCACAAAAGACAAGATTCGTAAAACTCATTGTTTCTCAAAATCCCACAACTCAGCATCCTGATGTAGGTTTCTAAAACATATACAGGTACTTCAGTGACACCTCTGTGTGACTTGGATATAGGGTTGCCCAAGTGCATCAATGGGTACTCTTGAAGTTCTTTGAAAACTGGACCTAATCCAACATGGACCAACAAGGCTGTCTGGGTGTGCAAAATACACAAAATACTCCCAAAATACAAAAGAGAACTGGGTATTCAAAAATCATGAGCTATTTTTGAAAATTTGAGTCTTTTAGATATATCCATCTGTCTACAGAGAGACAAGATGGTGAAATATGCACAATTCATTTTCTAAGAGGTTTGTGACAAAAGCTGTGGTGTGTAGAGTAAAAATAAACTTGAATTTAAATTCTCCTTTCTTGATATTACTATGGAGACATCGGGCTGGAGGTTAAAATTCCAATCCCTGCAAAACTGTTGTTCAAGCTGCAGTGTTTTATTGACAAATTCTTAGTTATTTATGGCATTTTTATGAAATTGAAGTAGTTAATTGTACCTTCTGCTGGGAAGTGCAGAACTTTTCCATAAGAAACTAATTAAAAATGGAATTACAGTTTTAAATTATTCAATTTCAGCATCATCTCCTTTTTAAACAAGAGATTTCATCATATCTAAATGTCAATTTTGCTTATTTTTTTGAGCCAGATAGCTTTCTATGTCAGAACTACTAGAATAGAATGTGCCTAACACCATTTTAATTGGTCTGAATTTAATAATCAAGACTTCTGGAGTGCAAGAGATTATCAACTGATATGCAATCACCATAGCAATTCCAACAATACAGCTTCTTCCTGTTGCAGATATAAAAGCACAGCCAAATATAAGAGGTATTTTCTATCCTCCTGCCAAAATTTAGGCTTCAACAAAAATTTCTTGGCAGTCATCATGCAAGTTAAAACCTCCTTTGACTCCTTTATTGTGTATTAAAATCTTTGTCTACAGCTTATCTTAAGTGATCTTTGAATAGGGCAAATAATTGAATCCATTATCAGAGAAGTTTTAACCTTATTTTGGGAGGAAATGAAGCTCTTACAGTATCTTGCCTATGCCTCCTATTAATAACATTTGAGCTTGTCCAAGCCAGTCTGATTGGACAGAAGTGTGGAAGTATCAAATACAATTGTATTTTGGTACATTTCTTGAAAACCAGAAATTAGGTAGAAGGATAAGTTATTTGATGATCCACTGAAATTGATGCAACTAGATTTCAGTTGTCATGCTTTCTACCTGCTCTAGGTCTATTAAG